ATTAAAGGAAGAGCTTGGATCTGATTTGTCATGGTGTTTGTTGTTGATCCATGTTGTTTGGTTTGTTGACAACACAATGATGGTATGTTTACCTAATTGAGGGTGAAAATACCCGAGGCAGGTTGTCAATGTTTGAACTATTTACAGGTCACCCTTTCAACCCAACTGTGTGCACTACTACCTGCAAAATACTAACCCTTACTATTTACATGCAGGGAGAGTTTTACATGTGTGGAGTCATTACTCGGCATCATCTTTGCTGCTGCTCTATCTATGCAGCCTATCAACCAATCATATGATTTAAGTGACCCCAGCACGGTTGAATGACCTTACAGGAAGCTACAGACAGTAAGTGTGACTTCCTACCCGTCAGAAAGTGAGTAGCTGTTGCCTCTAAGGTCTAATATAAATACATCCTTATCACAACGTCTCCATTAAAGCCTCATTCCGCCTCATTACAGCACAGATGACAGACACATTAACATGGAGGTACTGATGGGAGGCATTCATGCAGATGACAGTATATCTGCAGGACTGACTACAGAGGATGAAGGGGGATTAGGGTGCTGTAATTGCAGCTGCGTGACACTGGTTGCTCTCAACTCCCAATCAAAATACCTGCTGGTGTTACGGCCGTCAGGAATTTAATGGTTGTCTGATTTTACGTGGTATCCTGGTCTTCCGGGAGAATGTTTCAAGTCAGAGTTTTAATGTACAGAGTAGTGTTGTAGTACAAGCATGAAAAACTAAAAAAAAAAAAATTATTGTTATTTTCCTTTGATGTAAATGGTCTCGTTCTTGTCTTCACTACAACATTAGTATGGAGCTGTTGTTTAAGATGTCCAAGTTTCTTATAACCAGGAAATGTTGTTAGAAGTTAAAATTAGAGCAGCAAAATAACAAAAGAATGTGTGAAATCATACTTGCTCTGTGTAATAGAGTCACCATACCTTACCGTAACCAAGACACACTGAAAATTCAACAACATAACTACATCTCTGCAACTCTAACGCTGACCTAAAGTTACTCTTCATCAGCATTACATAAAAAAAAGGGGTATGAAACTCCTGAGCACGCGCTGTTGAGCAGCATGAACTCAGACACACACAAACAGCTCAACATCTCCGACGGCGACAAAACACGAAGGGGGATGTTCTCTCTGTGGACTTTTTCTCTGGCTGGAGTTAAACTCCATCATCATCACAGTGGAAAGTAGAAACAGAGAGAGCCATCATGTCCACAACAAGCCCTCCACAGACATGAACGCAAAAAGATGACATCTATGGAAACATGAATAGAAAAGAGACAGATGACCAAGAAGACTTATAGCATGCCAGCAAACCAAAGACTCAGCAGGATGGATGGAGACGGTGTTATCAGGCAACCGATAAGTTATGTGCTATTTCCTGGACAATCCTCAACTAAAAATACAGTAATGCATTAGATAATAATTACAGCACATCAATGAGTGTTCTGACACATTTTGTTTTTTTACCCTTAAATACGAGCTGATAGTGTATCGACTGGCTGATGACAAAGTTTCAGGAATTTTGATTGTTTGCAAAGCAAATTTCTGATCCCCCCCCCACACACACACACACACACACGCACAAACACACACATTAGTCTAGCATTCTTTATGAGGACCATCATTGACTCACTCGTTTTAGTGACTGGATTGTACCTAACTCTAACCATAACCAGTCTACTCCTAACCCTAACCTTAACTAAAACTTAAAGGGACTTTACGGAGTTTTGAATTTTTATGCTCGCGATTGCCCCCTCAGGCCAAAAGCGTAACGGCAGCTTCAATAGTAGGCTCGTGCACGAGGTGTGCATGCTGTACGTGCACACTCCTTAACGAAAATAACAGCTGAGACAGTCAGCTCCGTGTGTGTGTGTGCCTGGCCCGGAGGACAGAGGACAGGAGAACGCGCAGCTAATTAATTAAATAATTTGATTCTGTACCTTTCTCTTCAGCACAGCCGACAAAGGTTTAAGATGGGTCAGTCCTCCTGCATGCTCAGATCATTCCCTTCCCCTGCTTGAAAAATTGTTCCAAAATGAAAGTTGAACCCACATCTTTTTTATCTGTGAATTCAATGCCGTTCGGCAAGTCTCAAAAAAAAATTTGGGCATCTTATTGTAAAAAAATATACCATTAATGGAAAAAATAAACTATAGATACATTTTATTCACATCAAGATTCGAGCCCGGACCTTCCGCATGGGAATCCGTCGTCTTACTAGATGAGCTAAAGCACCAGTAAGTTCTTTTGTATCCGTAGCTTTTATATCCTTGATGACAGATGAAACAATCAATCAATCAATCAAAGCTTTATTTATAAAGCACCTTCCGCAACCCTGTCAGGAAGCCCAAAGCGCTGAACATGTAAAGTTGTAAGTAAATATATTGAAAAAATCAACAATAAAAGAAATTCAAATTACAAAATACAAAATGGAAATTATAAGATAGATGAAACATTCTGGTAAAGGACAAATGTGTGAAACACATTTGGATTGAGTGGATGGATTGAGTGTCCCAATGAAAACTGTGGAATGGATTCAACATAAAAGAGGGCCAAACTCAAACATGTTCTGGAAACGCCAAGTGGAGGAGGTGTGTTTTTAGGTGATTCTTAAAGACTGGCAGAGATGGGGACAGCCTAACTGAGGGTGGCAACTGGTTCCAGAGTAACGGTGCTAGGACTGAGAAAGCCCGGTCCCCACGGGTACGACACCTAGACCGAGGGACAACGAGCAGGCCTTGGTCAGAGGAGCGCAGAGTGCGTGATGGGGAGTGTCTTTTCAGGAGTGTGGCTAGATAGGGGGGACCACCACCCTGGAAGAAATGATAAACAAAGACGAGTATTTTGAATTGTGAGCGATAGCAAATCGGAAGCCAGTGCAGGGAGGCCAGAACTGGACTGATGTGGTCCCGTTTCCTGGTCCCAGTCAGGAACCTGGCAGCGCTGTTCTGCACAACCTGTAGGCGACGCAGTGTTGACTGACACAACCCTGCATAGAAAGAGTTGCAGTAGTCAAGCCGAGAAATTACAAAGGCATGCAGTACCCGCTCCAGGTGGGCTCTCGACAGCATATGCTTGATTTTAGCAAGGCGTCTCAGGTGAAAGAAACTGGACCGGATCACAGAATTGATGTGAGCATCAAATTTTAAGTCCTACATCAAGTTTCACCCCCAAACTGGTAACAACTGGTTTTGAGTAGGGAGAAAGAGGGCCAAGATCAGCATAACGATCCACATTCCTGCTGTTGGGGTGAAAAACAATGAGCTCTGTCTTTCCCTTATTCAGATGTAGATAGTTGGACATTAGCCAAGACTTCACCTCATTAACACAGGAGACAAAGGACTGAATAGAGTGATCTTTCTCCTGACACAACTGAGAGTAAATCTGGCAATCGTCAGCATACAGATGGAATGATAGGCCATGTTTACGAAAGATTGACCCCAAAGGTAGCAGATAAATGGCAAACAAAAGTGGACCAAGGATCGACCCCTGCGGGACCCCCGCAAACAATTCACGAAACAACGTTCAAAGAACGGTTCGGAGCAAAAATGGCTACTTTGTTGCCAATTTGCAGGAAATATCTAGAAGAAAGTAGCTAAGGGTCCTCAGAAATGTAGCTAGGTTCATCACTAGGCGTGAGGAACAGCGACAAAGTCGCTGAGTTGGCACTACCTCACTCTCTGCTGCTAAAGCTACTGATAGCAAATGCTACGGGCGATGTCTGAGCGTGAACGCGCATGAAGCAGCCTGCTCGACCCGAGCAGCTCTTTTTCTGTGATTTGACAGAAAAACAGACAATCACAGTAAAAATGCCAGGGCTCATTCTACAGGACCAGGGCATTGCAGGAGAATGTATGAAGAAGAAATTTATTATTTCTATACATGTTTTGGATGTCAAACCTCCATAATGCCCCTTTAATTCACACCATACTTCTTAAACTAATGAGTAGAGCTCTGTAACTATGCCCCAAAGTGAGGACCAGCAAAATGTCCTCACTTTGCTACCAATGTCCTCAGTTAGCAGGTAAAAAAAAAAAAACTTGTCTTTCTCCTCATTTTAATATATAGACCGACAGACACACACACACGCGCGCGCACCTTATAATTATAAACAAATTTAACTTTTATATTTATCATCGAAAACAATTCATGAGTACATTTTAATGATAATTTGACTAATAATAAACTTTTTTGACATTTTGATCACTGGATAAAAGAAAGGCTGACTTGTTTTTACTTATCATTTTAGCTTTAGTTTTTATAAATTAAACAACCATTTAATGGGAAATAACAGAATAATTTAGTCCGACAGTAGGTTATTTGAGACTAAAACGTTAGAGTATATTCGGCTGTTGATGTTACAGCAGTATTTTGTTTACAAAAAATAGCTAATTATGCATCATTAGCACGTTGTTAGCTCTTTACGTTACATATAAACAATGATAATGGTGAACACTTTCGCCATTCATTGTTATGAAAAGGACGAGCCGTCTTGAACGGATGCAACACCGGCATGGTGACAAAGTTTCAGTCACGTAGCCGCTCCTCCTTTGGCTACAGGCTCTTCCTTCTTCATCATCACTCACCGCAAACACAAAAAAACGAAACACGTTTACCGCAAACTGGCTAAACTGACGTAAATCGCGAGGGCGATACATATTTAAAGATTTTAAGCACATTTTATTTTAGTTATTTAACAGTTTGAACTAATTAGAACACATATGACAAACTACATTTTCTTGTCAGTATTTTGTTAGTCTGGTTAAAAAAACGGGAAAATTGACAGAAAACACATTCAAAGACATTTCTCCACACAGACGCTACAAATACGTAATAAGACATTTAAAGCTTCGCTGGGTCCACATGGGAGCGTCTGATGGGTTACATTAGAGCGAACTTACTGAACTTCATTCTTACTGTTGTAAAACAAGTTGAAAGGGACTAAAGCATGCTATTAAATGCTTTTATTTACCTTTCCGGACTCCATCGCAGAGAGCTTTTTCTTCTTTGTCTGCGCGTTTACAGCAGGGGCAGTCTGCGATGAGAGGACTTCCTCTGGATCTCCTGGTGCGCCTGTTCAGAAACTGTTCATGTTTCAGATAGTCTCTTCCTCTGAAAACGCTCTAAACTAAGAGGAATACTGTTTAGTTGTCGTTTTGTTTTATTTCAGCGGTGTTTTTCATCTCCAGCAGCCCAACAGCTTGAATTCCGCTCCGTTTCTTTTCCTCTGCGTCGTTTTAAACGTGTTTAAGTTTGTCTTGTTGTTGCTGGTAAACCATCCAGGATGTAAGAGAGCTCAGCGGTGGTGAAAGGTATCACCTGAGAGTCTTGATGAAGGCAGATCGTCCGACGTGAGTTAAAATATGAAAAGTGACGCACACATCTTGGGGCGTGTTGTTAGAGGGAGGCCCGTCCTCCTGTGCCGGAGTCCTTCGTTCATTTTTTTTTTTTTTTCGGAATTAACAGGAATTCTATTTAATCCCAGACAGGATGTTCAACAGACCTATTCACGGGAAAATTTTAATCCAAAAATGGACGAAATTATCCATTTAACTTTATTTTTAAACAAACTGCGTACAACAGTATTTTTTAATATTTTAACCCAATCCCACAGCCACTAAATAAAAAGATCTAGAAAATGTAAAGTGTTTTCTTTATATATATATATGTGTGTGTGTGTGTGTGTGTGTGTGTGTGTGTGTGTGTGTGTGTGTGTGTGTGTGTGTGTGTATAAAATTTTTGAATATCTTTGCAAGGGGGAGTTTTCTAAGTATCCAAACGTTTCAAGCACCTTAAAGGTGAATTTTAAAGGTTTTCCATCACTTTGTGGGGATGAAAGTCTCAAAAGTCTTTTGAGTAGTGATTTCACTCAATCATCGCACGGAGTGGGTGCTTATTATTCAATTAAAGAGTAAAAATGAGTATTTATTGATGAGAAATTAAACAAAATAATGCCATTTAATTTAAACTTTGCATCCAGTGTTTGAATTTTGTAGCTTTCTAATAACGTCTGATATGAAAAGGAGAACAACGTTAATAGAAATTATGTGCATTTTCATTATCGACAAATATACACATTTGCAAAATCAGAAAAAAATGCTATTTTTGACCTAAATCTACAAACTTTATTTTAACTGATTTAACCTGAAGTAATTAATAAATGGATGTGTTTTTCTGAACATTTATATAAAATTGAGTTATCTCATTTTGGTAATGAACTCTTCACTTCTGGGGTCAGATTTAATGGGGAACTAAGCAGTTTTAGCTTTCTTTCATCACCCCCTAGTGTTCATTCATCTAGCAGCTGAAATGTCTCCCCAGCCTTTCTTAGTGTCTATAAGAGTGATTCTTCACTAAATAAAACAAGTCAGCTGTGCTCATGATCTAAAGCATGCAGCACCAGGCATGTCAGTCCCAACAGAGCAGCCCGCCAGTCTGAAGTTGCAAGTGGAATATTCTGGCCACAGGGGGCGATGGGGTAGCCTTTCATTAACCCTGTAAAGCAGGGCTATTCAATTCCTGGCCTCAAGGGCAGGTATCTAGCACGTTTTAAGTGGTTTCTCTAATCCAACACACTAGATTCAGTGGCTTAATCACCTGTGCAACAGCTAATCGGGGTCTGTAGAAGCCTGTTAATCACCTGTTGATTGAAATCAGGTGTGTTGAAACAGGGTTAAAACCAAAAAATGCCGGATACCAACCCTCAAAGACTGGAATTGTATAGCCCTGCTGTAATGGGTTCTTTTAGCACATACTGGCTCAAAAATTATTTTAAAATGTGAAAAAGTTGTAAAGTATCCCTTTAATATTGCTTTCTGTTCATCCTGCATACCTGGTTTTAATTTCCTGAACACCACACAGAGCCCCCTTCAGACAGGCCAAGTGTAACAGTTTTCCTTCTTCAGTTAATATTCTTGCAAATCCTTTTTTTCCCCTCTTGTTAGGTGTTCAGTTTGTTTTTCGTGTGTGTTTTGTTTGTCCTGCCTCACTCTGTCTGTTTCAAGTGGAAGTTTGCATAAGGATACATTTTAAGCCAAAGAAGGAAACAAGTTAATACAAAAGGAGATTAGGGAGTTTTGGCTTGCTTTTCGCACCTCCTGGTGTCCGTTTAGTAGAACCAAAAGCAAAACCTATCTCCTCGCAGTGCATTTACCTTAATTTAACAGCTGAAATGTCTTCACAGCCTTCATAAGCGTCTACAGGAGTGATTCATCCCTAAATTAAACACTGACACTCTGAAGTTGCAAATGCGGTACCAGTGTTTCTTTTTTACTTTGTTTTTGCAAACTCTGGGAAGACATTAGGATGTTTTAAGATGAAATATGTAGGAATGAAGCAAGAATGACATCATGTGGTCAAATCTGGGCACTGCAGCCCATTTCATAAACAAAATGTCACTTTCTTAGTGTCGTTTCGTGAGTTTTATGGCTGTGGCCAGTTTTGGATCAGCACCAGAAGATTCTAGTTGACAAGCAAAGATGAGTCATGCACAGCAAGTTGATATTCATATCTGTTGATATCTGGCGTTAGCACTTGGGTGTTTTAGGGTAGAGAGCACTTACTACTTATTGCGGTAATATGTTTCTGGCATTAGAAAAGTGATTGTTTAGTATGATTATTTAACAGTAAAATTCTTACATGATGGGTTTGTTGAAGGAAGGTTGCAGCTAAAGCCTGTAATGTGACTATTTTTGTCATTCATTCATTTTGCTTTTTGCTTAACACATAAGACAAATGCGTGTGCTGCAGCAAACTGACAAAAGCAAAAATGAGGCTTGCTTGATGCAAATAGCTGTGGCTGCGGTCCTCCAACTGATGCATGTTGATAGTAAAAGAAAATAATCCCGATGGCTGAAGAGGAAGAACGTCTGAATTCATACAGCTGCAAAGAGGGCAAAACAAGGAAAATATGACCCATTCTAAACTCTTTGATATTTTGTTTTAAAATGAAAATCTTTTGAAACGCCAACAAAAACAGGCAGACTGTTTTATGAACAATGAGTGAATGTTCTGAATGATGGTATTGTACAGTAAATCAAACGTGCAGGATGCTTGTCACAAGGAGCTGGAGGTTCGTCCTGTCTCAACAAAGCTTCTGCAGAATAAAAAAATGCAGAATGAATAAACTAGTGGGAACTGTTGCACATGTGGTATTAGTCAAATGTTCTCCTTACATCCTTTCCAGGAATGGTACAGTAGGGTGGCTGCAACTGGAGGAAAAAATAAGAGTTTGTCTTCCTAAAAATTAAATTGTATATTTCCTTCTTTCCAAGGGTAAAATGAAAAGACTAAATGCCGCTGTTAATGACGTCAGTTTAATGAGTTGACAACTCGTAATTTTTAGTAAAATAAAATGTTATAAGACAAATGGTTAAGTTGCAAGTTGAGTAAAAAATCTGTTGAATTGACAATTGAATTTTATTTCTGTACATTTTGTTAGACAGTTTTTTCTCCAATAAATATAAGATTTAATATTTTATCATTTATTCATTGAAAATTTTATTTGTTTGTTTATTTTTTATAGCTTTTAAAATTCCAAAATTCACATATTTTGATCAAAGATAAACAATTTCATTTGCACGCGCGTGCGTGTGTGTGTGTGTGTGTGTGTGTGTGTGTGTGTGTGTGTGTATCAGTCTATACATCAAAGTGAGGACCAAACCAAGTTTTTTTTTTTTTTACTTGCAAACTGAGGACATCAGTAGCAAAGTGAGGACATTTTGCTGGTCCTGTCTTTGGAACAACATTACAGAGCTCTACTCATTAGTTTTAGAGGTTTGGTGTGAATTAAGTTTTAGTTAAGGTTAGGGTTAGGAGTACACTGTTTATTGTTAGTTAGGGTTAGGGTTAGGCACAATCCAGTCACTAAAATTACCGTAATGGAAGTCATTAACGGTCCTCACAACAAATGCTAGACTAGAGCATGTGTGTGTGTTTTATGTTACAACAGTTTCCTTTTGTAGTCTAATTGATTCACGCCATAAAAACACACTAAACTTATTATAACTCATCATCACAGTAAAATAAATTCTTGGAGTTCTGTCAGTAAATAAAATGGAAAATTGTTGATGTTTACAACATGTGATAATACATTTTGTTTTATTGTCTCCTGCCCTCAGTTTGTCTTGCTGAAAGCCGGTGAAAACACCAAGCTCAGATGCACCTAACATAGTCAGGGCTAATTCTCACATGACTCACTGGCCGGCTCAAATTCGCCACCTCACAATAAGAGCCCAAGAGCTGGTCTGTGCCCTCAGGCACGTAAGCTCCCCTGCTGTCTCACGAGTCAGCGTTCACTGGCTCTGGGCCACAAAAACTCTTCTCTAAATGTTTGTTTATGGGCACCTCAATGTCCGATGACCTTAGTAGTGGTATTTTAATGGAAAAGTGTCTAAAAAAGAGTATTAATGTCGTGAACGCATATTTAGAAGGTGACACAAACCCCCCAAAATCATAACATGGATATTCCCTAGAGAATTTTGTTAAGTCCCTCCTGATTAATGAATGAATGAATGAATGAATGAATGAATGAATGAATGGTCAAAACGTATAAAAAAAAAAGACAAAAGACTCAAAAATGTATAAAATAAAAATAAAATAGTGCAATAATACAAGCATGCAGGTCTGAAAATATAATTTATTATTTTTGTTTTTTAGATTTGCCAAACAAGTGATGACATGTAGTTCTTTAAAAGAGTTACAATGGGGTGTTTTATTTTGAAAGGTGACCAGATTAACCATTGCATTCCTGTGTTTGGATGCCCGGCTAACTCCTATGCTCAAAAATAGACAGACTGTATATTTTTAGCTTCAAACTGAGCCACCTCTATGGAACATCAAATGAATTCACAAGTATTGTTTGAAGTGAACACAGTTAACTTTTACTGTGAAGGTGTTATAACTTGAAGCTATGTTCACTGCAAACATTCAGGGATTTATCATCCTTTTCCTCCTCAAATTTGTGTTTATCTTGTTTTGCATCACAAGGAGTTTGTATACATAAACAACAGCAAAATGACAAGATCATCAGAATCCCTTTCATCACTGGCAACGCGAGAATAGGTACATGTATAAAACAAGGAATGGCAAAATTTTTGATTCGTTTTCAACATTTCAAGGGATATTTCCACAGATTAATGGTAAAAACTTTACATAGTCTCTTTAAGTGAACTGAAAATGGTTTATGAGACTTTAACTTCCAGTGACGCCATGCCGAGTCATCGTGAACACAAACAGGACAGCCTCAGTGAAATGTTTTATCAATAACCTCCACACACATGAACTCAGAGGCCGAAAATACATAAGCTGTAATATTCTTTCATTTGAAACGTTTAGTGATGCAACATGCATGAGCTGCCCAAA